CTTATTTCACTTAGCTTAATATTCTCCGGTTCCATCCATGTTGTCGCAAACGGTAGTTCTATCTGTCTCTCTCCCCCTCTCTCTTTCTTTCTTTCTTCCTTCCTTCCTTTCTTTCTTTCTTCCTTTCTTTATTTCTTTTTCTTTCTTTCTTTCTTTCTTTCTTTCTTTCTTTCTTTCTTAAATGTAGATTGATTTTACTTATTTTCTTAAAATATCAAAATCCATTATAAAATATTAAAAAATTTAAATCCATTATAAAGTCTCAGCAATTAAGACAACATGACACCAGCACAAAAATAATCAAGTAGATCAATGAAATAAAATGAACAGTCTAGAAATAAATGTATATATCTGTCTAATCATGTAATATATGATGAAATTGATATTTCAAATCAATGGGGAAAATAAGGCTTATTCAACAAATAAGATGCATGGACCACTATTACTTGAAATAAAACAAATACAGAGCCCTATTTTACATGTTACACAAAAAATATTCAGGTGAGTTAAAAATCAATATGTAAAATCTAAGGAGTTTTGGGAGAAAACATAAAGTAATATTTTTTTACCCTGAAGTAAAGTATTCAAACCCAGAAACTATAAAGTAACATATCAACAATATGACTATATTAAGCATTTAAGACTATACAATAATATACATATTAAAAAGTTAAAGGACATGTAATAGAATAAGAAAGTGTTTGCAACACATCTAAAAAGGGGTTAACATGTTTGAGGGTTTTTTTTTAAGAAAAAAATTCTACGAACATTTAGTCAAAAAATGGATAAAGAATACCAAAAAGTCATTTAAAGCTTTTTAAAAATAATAGAAATGGGCAAGAAATATACAAAACAGGTTCAGTTTCAACAAATAATGAAGTAACAATTAAAATAACAAATCCTTGTCACAATCAGATTAATAAATATTAAAAATATTGGTAATATCAAGTATTGGTGACTATGAAAGGAAGTAGATATTCATAGACTCCTTTTCTTCATCTTCTTAAAGCAGTCCCTTTAGCATATCTTGCAATGCTGGTTTGGTGGAGGTGTATTCTTTTAGCCTTCTTTTATCTGGTAAACTCCTTGTTTCGCCTTCCATTTTCATTGAGGGCCTTGCTGGGTAGAGCAGTCTTGGTTGCAGGCCTTTGCTTTTCATTACTTGGAATATTTCTTGCCATTCCCTTCTGGCTTTTAGTGTTTCTGTTGAGATGTCAGCTGATAGCCATATCGTGGCTCCCTTGTATGTTACTACCTCTTTCTCCCTTGCTGCCTTTAGGATTCTCTGTTTGTTTTTGATATTTGCCATTTTAATGATGATGTGTCTTGGAGTGGGCCTCACTGGGTTCTTCTTGAATGGGACCCTCTATGCAGCCTGGACTTGTGTGACTTTTTCTCTCCTCCAATTAAGGAAGTTTTCCATCATTACTTTTTCAAACAGGTTCTCTATCCCTTCCTCATCCTCTTCTCCTTCTGGTATCCCTATTATATGGATATTATTACGTTTGAGGTTGTCCTGCATTTCCCTTAATGTCTCTTCATTCTTTTTGAGTCTTTTTTCATTCTCTTGCTCTTTCTGGGAGATCTTTTCTACCTTGTCCTCCAGCTCGCTGATTTGGTCCTCAGCTTCATCTAGCCTGCTTTGGATTCCTTCTACTGTGTTCTTCAATTCAGAAACTGTATTCTTCATTTCCTCTTGTCTCTCAGTGATACTTTCCATGTCCTTTTTCATGTTGATATAGTTGCTAAGTTCCTCATAGTTTCCCTGTAGTTTTTTGAAATTCCCTGTAGTTTTTAGAACTGTTGTTTGGAGCTCAATATCTGATAGTTTACTTGCCTCTATGTCATTTAGTTCTCTTTCTGGAGATTCCTCCTTTCCTTTCGAGTGAGGGGTATTTATTTGTCTTCCCATTATTTGTGAGACTTATTTTTTGCTTCTGCTTCTTAAGGTGATCTGTCTTGATTTCCTGACTTTGTGGTGTGAACTTCTATGGTAGGAGACCACTGTTTTTACTTTCTGGATCTGCCTCTGATGATGTCAGATATTGTCCCTGTCTGAACTTAGGCAGTCTGTTTGAGACTTCCAGGAATATACTGTCTATAGCTGTCTCCTTCAGTTATTAATCTATTCACTGCGCGCTCAGCAGGCCACCTTAGACAGCTCAGGGCAGGGCAGAGTCCCTCCTGGTGGTGAGTTTATTGGGTCCTCTCACACTGCTGCTGTATGGTAGGAGGAGTCAGCACTGGGATCCTGCCAGCTACTCTCTCCCTTCTCTCTCCAAAGCCTCTGTTCCCAGTTTCTCCTCAAGTGTCTCCAGACCTCTCTGCTCCTCCTTTAGCCAGGGATCTACTATCTGTGGCTGCCACTCTGCACTCAGCATGCGGCTTAGACAGCACAGGGAGGGGTGGAATCCCACCTGGGGGGTGGGGCTATTGGGTCTGATGCTGCTGCCACTCAGCGGGGAGTGGTCTCTGCCTTAGCAAGGTGGCTGCCTCCACATGGGCAATGAGTCAGCACCGAGATCCCACCGGCTACTCTCTCACTTTTCTCCCCAAAGCCTCCTTCCCCAGTCTCTCCTCAGTCATCTCTAGCCCACTCTGCCCCAACCTTTGCCAGAGACCAGGGTAAGTGGCTGCAAATAAAAATTTATACATTGGCCCTTTAGATGGTTCTTTGCGTCTCCAACCACCTGTCTCTGGCAGAGAGCAACACTGCTGCTCTTCTCAGCTGTCTGTTTTCTGTGTAATTTGGGGGCTGTACGCTGGAGATCCCCGCTTATGGTTTAGACCCCACTCTTCTCAGGGGGATCCAACTGGCCATTTCAATATCCTTCTGGTGCTGCCGCCCATGGGTGCCCTGCCTGCCTTCTCGAGTCTCTATGGTACTGCTTACTAGTTAGATGGTGCTAAAGCCAATTCTTCTGTCTCTGAGGTTACAAGACTCCTCTCTCACTATTGTTCAGTTGTTTATTCCAAATGATTTCTCCACAATGTAGTTGTAATTCCAGGTTGGTCCTGGGAGGAGGTCAATGTGACTTCTACTCACTCCTCCGCTATCTTGATTCTCAAAATTTATTCATTTCTTCCAGATTGTCCAATTTGTTGGCATATAGTTATTCATAATATTGTCTTTTGCTACTTATACACCTTAAGTACAGGTATTATTGTATCAGGCCCATCCTCCTAGTGGGTAGGTGATAAATGCCCATTTTCTGTAAATAACACCTACAGTGCATGAATGAGTCAACATAGCAGGACTGACACTGCTGTCTTTAGAAAGGCCTCCTTGCACGGTTGGACCTTGGGCCTGGTATGTGGGAACTTTGATTTGGGCAGTGTTCCCGCCTTCCCTAATTGATAAGTGTGTCATTGTGCCTAGAGTTAGTAAATAATACAGTTTATGTTGAACACATGCTTTCTTTTTGTGTGTATGATGTCTTTTTACTTGCTAGGCCAAGGGTGCCTACACACCCAGCCCCCAATACAAACTTGGAGCACCGAGTCTATAAAGAGCTCCTTGGCCTCAGAGTTATCTGCATGACATTTCCACTGGGACATCTAATGGGCACCTCAGATTTTACATGATATGGCATTCCCACCCGTCTACCCCAGATATGCCCCTGGCCAAAAGTCCCCAAAGTAATAAATAGCGCTACCACCAACCCAGGTATTCAATTCTAAACACCAGAACCTAGATTACTTTCCTCATTTCTCACTCTTCACCTCTGGTCCATAAACAAAGTTTATCAGCTCATCCAAATCCATCTGGAATTTGTCCACATCTCTTCATCTTCTCAGTCACCACAGTAGTTCAACCCCCATTGTTTTCCACCTGGACCAGCTGCAAGGTCTCTTACCTGGTCTCCCAGCTTCAGCTCTCCCCCACCCTCCATTCCCCACAACACTGAGTGACTGATAACATGCAGGGGAATTTATTCTACTTAATATTCAATATCAGAAATTTTACCTTCAGCCTTGACCTTGTATTTTTCAGTCCTATGGAGATAATTTGGGTTTTGGCATACCATGTTACCTTAATGGGAGAAAGAGTACAACGTGAGCAAAAACTATGTTTAAATGTTTTGTTAAGGGCAATATGCCTGTCCGGCACAGTGACCATGGGAAGTCACTCCCGTGTCTCTGGGAAAGCCAGCCTAAGGCTCAGCTATCATTGCTATTGCTCAAGGTGAGTTTGTCAAAGAGGTACTATGCCAAGATGGCTGCTGGGGTCTTCATCTTGCTACCCAGATATTGTTAACAAACATTAATGTTTGCATATTTTAGTAAGCTAAAAATTTTCAGGTAAAACATAAGAACTCTTTAATTCCTACCCAATCTCATTTTCTTCAGGCTTTCTCCAGGGGCAAGCACGCCAATAATTTTAAGGCCAGGTTTTGTACTTTCAGCATGAATGTGCATCTATATTCACCATACACCCAGACTATTCACCTCACCCCACCAGCATATACCACATGGTTTATAAGGGGAAGATTAATTATTCCTTTACCAGGGTCCAGGGAATACCTCCTCCCTCCTTTCAGGGTCCAGGTCATATCCCTCCCTCTATCCAGGGTCCCACAGAATACCCCTGCCCTCCATCCAGGCTCCCATGGAACACCTCCTCCCTCCATACAGGGTCCATGGAAAACTTCCTCCCTCCATCCAGGAAGCCAGGAAATACTTCCTCCCTCCATCCCGGGTGCCACGGAATATCCCCTCCCGCCATCCCTGAGGACCCCGAGCTGCACTTTACTGGGGCATTGGTGGGTGGGAAGACTCCTACGCATTCATTTTAAAACTTAAAAAGTGAGGGTTTTATACACATGAATCAATGAAACACCTTTATTTATTTAGGAACCAATAACTTTACTGGAAGAAGTGGTGAAACTGGAACGTAAAAACTGAAGCGACCGTTTTGCAAGGGCCATAGAGAAACGGGCATGTTCCACACGGTGCCCCGAGGAAGTGACCCCGCGGCTATCGGGGAGGCAGTCCAAGGCTCAGTTCTTGCTGCCGCCCAGGGTGAGCCTGTCGAAGAGGTACTCGGCCAGGCCGGATTCCGGGGCTCCCATCTTGCGCAGCTTGGTGACGTGGTCCCCCAACTCTTTGATGAACATCACCTGTTGGTGCAGGTAGTGCGTCTCCAGGACACCGCACAGGTGGCCGTCCCCCTTCTGGGTGGCCAGCTGGTGCAGATCGAGCAGGCTCTGGTTCACCCTCTTCGCCAGGTGCAAGGCGCACTCCAGGGCCCTCAGGCCGCTCTCCCAGTCTTCCCAGGCGGGACTGCTGATGTCGCGCAGGCGGCTTCGGCCCCCGCGCAGGTTCTGCATCCGCATCAGCTTCTCCGCGAGCTCCTTCTCCTTGTTTGACCTCTGCAGGAAGAACTGGCTGAAGTGCTTCAAGGCCCCGTCTTCATGGTCGAAGTAGAGGGCCATGGACGTGTACACGTAGGCGGCGTGGAAGTGTAGGTTGACGTGGTCGTTGACGGCGGCCTCACACTGAGGGTGGTAGTTCTGACGCACCAACGAGGGCCCGGGCGGCGTCGCCATGTCTTCAGGCACAGGCGCGTGACACCAAGCCTAAGGCGGCGCAGAAGCCGGACTGAGGGGCTGGCCGAGGCGGGGCGACTGTGGAGACTGCGAGGCCCTGGAGTGTCTCCGCGGTGATGACTGTGGAGGCCGCGGGGCCTTGGAGTGTCTCTGCGGTCGATGACCAGCGTGGCGGAGACGCGTGTGCTCAGCCGTCAGGCCTCAGGAGCGGCGGTTTGCTCTGAGGTGGGACCGGAAGAAACGACCCACTCGAGAGTGTTGAGGGAGAGGCGAGGGAGCATCCAGTACCAGGGCGGGGCGGGGGCGGGGGCGGGGCGGGGGTGTGGGCGGGGCCATGGGCGGGGCATCAGCGGGAGGCGGGACAGGAAGGGGGCCCCCTGGGGCCATTGGCATTTACACTTTCCAGGTTCAGGTTCCATCCCAGCCTGGTTGACAGAGCCTCTCAGTGTTGGGCATCTGGTGTGTATGGCATTTTAAACTGTTACTCAGGAATAGAAGTGCAACTGTTTAATCATCTGCGTGATTTCTTTGAGCAACTTACTTGAATATTGTTCTAATGTGATTGTTCAATTAAACGTAGCCCTTTTGTAGTATCATTGGTTACATTTAATATCACAAAGCTTTGTTTGGATGTCTTCGCATCTACATGACGACAGTTCCGAGAGCCTCACTCAGTTCCTAGGCCTGATTCCTCCCGCGATCTCCCCTTTCTCCTCCTCTTCCTGATCAGGTTCACACTGGGCTGGCGGCAGAGCACGGCTTCCAAGGTCTCAGTGTCTCGGCGCGCCTCTCCATCTTTCACTCTTTCGGGACTTGTTCTTCGCTCCCTTTATTCTCTCTCCTGTCTTAACCTTTGAGCACAGTCCTAGAGACCCCTTCCTCCTGCCCTGTCTGCACCCCAGCGTGCACAGTGGCAGTGACCTCATCACCGACAGCCTAGAGGCATTCACTGTCCGGCTTGCCAGTTGCTTTCCTCTTAGGTAAGCGCAGACTTCAGTGTCCTCTGGCATGGAACAAAAGACTTAGGTACATCCTTGGAGGAAGCACTTAACCATGTGGATGTATTCATCCCCTCCAACCTCATTTGTACTTTCGTTGCCACTCAGTAAGCCTCTTTTTTTTTTTTAGTTACATTCTAAGGAATGAGCCACAGTGGTTGGGAATATCACTGATTTCAAATGGCCTTTCATTCATTCAACAAACACTTATGGATTATATAAAATGGCCCAGGCACCAGTCTAGGGTTTGGGTATATATTAGTAAGAAAGAGAGACTGTGTCTGTTCCCATGGAATTTGTATTCTAGTAGAGAAGCAGATCAAAACACAAACAGAAGACTGCCATCTTTCTCCCCTTACTGTCCCAAGAAAATACATACAAGATAGTACACATATATATGGAAATTAAAAAGAAAATATAGTCTTACAATTCAAGGATATTATAGTGGCACACATGAGACCAACCTAGGTATTTATCATTTATTTATGATAATTCAACCACCAAATATGTGTCGGACACTATGGTTCTGGAGATACACAGAAGAATCAAACATGGCCTTGTTCTCAAGACACAAGATAGAGTGACAGAATATTATAAGTGTTCTCACATGGTTTGATAGATATGAATAAAATGCCTACTTTCACTTAAAGTTTTATTCCTGTGGCTTTGATTATTGTACCTTTTTTGAGTTGTCTATTTCCCTTTGGTAGTTTATGCTATTTCATTTTTTAATTAAACTATTGTTATTCTATTACAGATGTCCTAGTTTTTCCCCCTTTGCTCTCCTCTGCCCAGCCCACCCCCAATCAGTGTCTATGAAGAAAACAAAGGATCAAATATCACAATGTAAATTTATCTATTCAGTTTTAGAGGCATTTAATTGTTGATTATGTAAAAAATGGAATAATAACAATGTCTATTTGATGTGTTGATTGTAATGATAGAATCGTACATCAGACATGGAAAAGAACTACATGATCAGTTTCTCAATGAGGTAAAATTTTAGTCTATATTTCCTTACATCAGTATTTAGTCTTAATATAATTGTAGACTTTCAAAATTTCTTTGGGAGATTTCATTGTAGACCTCACTGTAAGGATCTATTTAAATAGAAGAAATCTTGATTTCGTAGAATGTTTCTCATTATGTTCCAATATTATGTAATAATTTATCCCTATAATTTTACTCTACATAAGGTTGAAGAACTATCTTTTCTAAGGGAAATCAATTAACAAGCATGGGCTGGGAGCCTCAAAATTTCATGAAGGAAATATACATATGTATAAACAAAAGTATTCCCTCCAGTTTTTCTTTAATGAGGAATATATAACTAAATACAAACACATAATGAGAAAATGTAAGAGAAAATCATATTTAAAAAATATAAATATAAAACTATAAGATAAGGTTTCTTTGAAATGTTTGTGGTCAGTGTTTATACTTTATTAGTATTAGTCAGGATTCTCTAGAGAAACAGAACCAATAGAATATTATCTATATGTCTATCTATCTGTATAACAAAGAATTGGCTTATGTGGTTATGAAGGCTGAAAAGTCCCCAAATGTGCAGTTAGCAAACTTGAGACCCAGGAGAGCTGATGTCAGTAAGTCCAGTCCAAAGGCCAATTGGTTCAAGACTGAAGAAGTTAAGTTGAATGCAGGGGGAAGAAAACAGTGTCCCCACTCAAAGGCAGTTGAGAAGGAGGAGTTCCTTCTTACTGAGAGTTGGGTCAGCATTTTTGTTCTACTCAGGCCTTCAACTGATTAGATGAGGCTCACCCACAGTAGGGAAGACAATCTGCTTTACTCAGTGTACTGTTTTAAATATTAATCTCATGGAAAAAACAGCCTCACAAGCACACACAGAATAATGTTTGATTAAATATCTGGGTATCCCCTGGCCCAGTCAAGTTGACATATAAAATTATCCATCACAGTATTATTCATAATAAATGCAAAGTCAACAAATAAAAATGCTAGTGCCATAATCTGTGAAAACTGTTTCAGTTCCCTTCATAATTCTTAAAAATATAACAGAACTAATAGTTACACAACTGATATTAGACAATAAGTTCTGACTCAGTGTCAATGATTAGCTTTCATTCATTCATTCAATATATTTCTACTGAGCACCTATTATATGCCAGGTATTTTTATAGGTCTTAACATAAAAACCTGTCCTATAAACTCCTCATATATGCATTTTTTTGCAGCTAAGTGTTCTTCAATGTTCTCTGTAATCCTTTCTTTAAAAATTAATACATGCTTGATGATATGTTTATAAGGAAGCCGATCATAAGTAGCAGCAGTTGGTGACTTACTCTGTGTGTGTTTGCGTAGGTAGAAAACTCATTTAATAAAGCAACAGCAAAAAGCAATAGCAATCCAAAATCAGTATTATCTATCAGTCCTTAATATTATCTGTTTCTGGGCTGTTCACACTATATTACCTCATTATTACAGATACTCTCTCAGTTAACTTTTTATCATCACCAGCCATATTTTAGAGATGAAGAAGTTGTGAATTTGAGAGTAGGTAACACGTTCAAGCAAGCACACATCTTGTGAACAGCAGCGAGGGACACTCTGATCTGGATTCCTCCCTCGGTAGTTTGGAAAGGTTGGCCGGACCATGAGCTCCTTTAGGACAAAGACTGTTTAACTTCTTTGATACTAAATTTCACATAGTAGGGGCTCAGAAACATTAATTAAAACATTGAGGACCTTATTAAAAGCTTTATTTTATTATTTCCCATTATTTCTCCAAATTAAAACAGTGAGAGGGAGTGGGTTTTGAATGTGTTTAAACTGGGTTTCCTTTAGAAGGAAAAAAAAATCAAAGACACCCAATGGTGGCAAATTATTCTTATAATTTCACTTTAATATGCACAAACATAAAACTGGGTATAAAAATCTCTATGCTGAAAGGTATACCTTTATAGCTGTAAAGCTAACAATTTAGAAATGTATGCAAATAAAACTATAAAATGAAAATGAAGAAATTCCAGTTGCACTTCAGGTTATGCTTTTTCTCTTAAATATAATCACTTCTCACTGAGAATAGATTTATTGTCTCTTCTCTCTATGCTGAGACCAAGTTCTCTTTCGAGTGCCACGCCTTCATACCCTGATATGTGTGGACCATCTCAGGTTTCCCCGCTCTTCTTTATGAAAAAATTGAGACACCTTAGTTCATAGGATGATTCATAAAGCAAATTTGCTTTCAGGTAGCAGAAGGCATTATTTAAATATTGTCTGTCCATGTTGTCCTTTTTTATTAACTTGTGAAAAGTAAAGAAATACTTTACTCTGATGTAGTTATTCTGGTTTCATGAAATACAATTAAAAGTCTCACTGATTTCAATAACTGAAGGTGCTGAGGTTTCATTCTAAAAAATAAATTAAAATAAAATTTAAAAAAATGTCCATACTACCCAAAGCAATTTATAGATTCAATGCAATCCCTATTAAGATACCAATGACATATTTCACAGAAATAGAACAGACATTTCAAAAATTTATATGGAACCATAAACGACCCCTAATAGCCGCAGCAATTTTGAGGAAGAAACACAAAGTAGGACGGATCACAACACCAGACATCAAACTCTACTACAAAGCCACTATACTCAAAACAATCTGGTACTGGCACAAGAACAGACCCATAGACCAGTGGAACAGAATAGAAAGCCCAGAAATAAGCCCAGGCCTCTATGGGCATGTAATATTTGACAAAGGGGGCAGAAGCATAAAATGGAGCAATAAAAAAAATTTTTTTTTCATTTCCCAGTCATCTCTTTAAAAGGAAATTTTAGTCTTTGAAGCTGATAAAATAACTCAATGTGACTATATGCGTGGACATGGGACAATTGTCTTTTTTACACTTGGACATGTCAGTCTAGCCGCAATCACACTCAATATGATTCAAAACACGTGCAGTTGTGCACACTGTGTCTGTGTGTCTGTGTTGAGCTATAAAGAGATCAAGATAATCCTGAAAAT